TTTTTGTCATTCAGTAAACTTCAGCTTCTTTCACTAGGGCGGACATTCACCTCTACCATTGAATGATATGCAATACTTCAGCTGAAGTCAGCATAGCAGACAACAGTGTCCTAACATTAAAAAAAAATGTTTCTTAAAATTGGAGTCCAGACCTTCACAACTAATTGTAAATGGTTGATAGAAATTTCCTATATATGTGTTTATCTTGTGATGTTTTTCTAAAAACAATTTGTTTTGTTTTACATGCAGCAAGAAGTTATGGGAGAAGACGAGGTAAAGCTTGTTAATGTCATGTCTGTCATTTTGATTTCTTTGATGTGATTTAAACAGCATCAGTTGTCTCTGACATGATTGCTTTGTTTTTGCCTCTGTTTGTCTGCTTGATTTTTGTCTGCATCACTGATTATTCTGTCTTCACTGCTTGAGATCCTTTTTTCCTCTTCAGGGAGTTTACACCTTTGCAGGCTGTCCATCAAGAACTAGTATTAATAGTAATCCTAATTTTATTGTGGGATAAGAAGTGGCAATTGTCCTTTTATTTCTTGTGATTGAACTTATTTGGATTAATTCTGATTGGAAGTTAAAATGTGTTAATTAGATCCTTCTCTCGATTAGGTCATTCGTCTTTGTTCCCCATGGAGGATGAGCGCTCTTTTGGAGATGATGAGTCAGGTGACCAGGGGCTTGCTGGCCTCGGTCCAGGCCACTGCTTTGCATCCCTTAATGGTGAACGTGTGGAGCGATATTCGCGCAAGGTGTTTGTTGGAGGGCTGCCCCCAGACATAGATGAAGGTGAGTCATGTTAAACCTGAAGGGGGTCCTTGACTAACTGCAGTTTTTACAATAATGAACTATAAACAACTTTTTTTGTGTTTTCACGTGTTTTATGGCATTTCTAGATTTAAGTTATATATTTACAAGTTATATTTCAGCTACTGTATCAATGGTGTCCTGTGGCATGGTAGTGATATGCAGTGCCATTTTAAATAGGTTTGCTGATGTGCTTGTTGACTAACTGTTCTTTTTTTTTGGGGGGGGGGTTTGTTTTCTAGATGAAATCACTGCCAGTTTCCGTCGGTTTGGTCATCTTTTCGTGGACTGGCCCCATAAGGCAGAAAGCAAGTCCTATTTTCCACCCAAAGGTGCATCAGAAAAGTTTAATTTGATATTTTGTGCTGTTCAGATTAAAATTTGTTATTTTCTGGTGAGCACTCATTGTTCCGAATGCCCAATATTTCCAGGATATGCATTCCTGCTGTTTCAAGATGAGAGCTCTGTTCAGGCCCTGATTGATGCCTGCATTCAGGAGGATGGCAAGCTTTACCTGTGTGTCTCCAGCCCCACCATCAAAGACAAACCAGTGAGTTTTAGCATTAAAGCTGCATCCACACCAGAAGTGACTTGCAATCATGTGGATCGCACATGTGTCGTTGCCAAACGTGCAGGACCTAACAATCTTTCCTCAACTTCCAGACTGAAGAATATTACTGACTGGAATATTAACAGTAGTAAATACATTAGAGGGGTTAACTAAGGTTAAATAGTTAAATAAGAGCCTGCAAATGACCAGCCATCAACTTCAAAGTTGTGAAACAAGCGAATCACTTCCAGCGTAGATGCAGTGGGCTTCTTTTTTTTTTTTTTTTTTTTTGTGTGTCTATCCTCATTACAAATGTTTTGCTTTCTGCTGTATGCTAAATGCAGCACACAAGAGGCTTCTCGTAAAAAGCCCCTGCCGCAACCGACAAGACTATTCACTGTTATAATCTATATTACATGAGCACCAAGGCCTTAAAATTATCAGTTCTAAATGTATCTTGGTCAGAAACAAGTAGGACACTGGGGAAATTATTATGCATTTTAAATTTTGTAGGTCCAGATCCGGCCCTGGAATTTAAATGATAGTGACTTTGTAATGGATGGTTCTCAGCCATTGGACCCAAGGAAGACTATCTTTGTAGGAGGTGTCCCTCGTCCCCTGCGTGCAGGTATACATTTGAAGTGACTAATAAATGTATCAAGCTTCTGAGATTCAAACTGTTAAAATCACTCTAAGTTTCATTGCTATTCCAGTTGAGCTTGCCATGATCATGGACCGTCTGTATGGGGGAGTGTGTTATGCTGGGATCGACACAGATCCTGAACTGAAGTATCCAAAAGGGGCAGGGCGAGTGGCCTTCTCCAATCAGCAAAGCTACATTGCAGCCATTAGTGCCCGATTTGTTCAACTGCAGCATGGGGAGATTGATAAACGGGTGAGTTGATCCGATTCTAGTTCCATATTCATATCCTGAAAATGTAGATGGTATGTTTCAAAAATATAAATTTCCCACTTACCAGACATGTCGCATGAATTCTAATCGTTCTCAGACTCCATTTAACCACATTTTACACTCTCTCTCTCTCTCTCGTCCCAGGTGGAAGTGAAGCCATACGTCCTGGATGACCAGCTGTGCGATGAGTGCCAGGGGACTCGCTGCGGAGGGAAGTTTGCTCCTTTCTTCTGCGCCAATGTGACCTGTCTGCAGTACTACTGTGAGTACTGCTGGGCAGCAATCCACTCCCGGGCCGGCCGCGAGTTCCACAAGCCGCTGGTGAAGGAAGGAGGGGACCGACCACGACACATCTCCTTCCGCTGGAACTGAGACAAGAGACCTGGGAGGGACTGAGAGAAAGGGGTAGTTAAGGGCGGGGTATGGGCTATGATGAAAAATAAATGCACTTTTCTTTTAAGTTGAGGAAAAAAAATGGTAATATTGATAATTTATTTTTATTTTTTTATTTTTTTAAACTTGGGCCCACAAAAAGTAAATGCTAAGAAGAGTGAAATCCCATTTATGTTTTGACTTTCAGTGTGCATGAGCATATGGATGCATTATATTTGGATTTGTGTTTCTTGTTGACTTGACTATATTTGTTTTCCTTTTTTTTTTTTTTTTTTTTTTTTTTTCATATTAGCTGGCAAAGCTGCTTACATTTGTTGATGAGAGTAACATAAAATTTAAGTGAGGTTCGTCACACCTAAATCAGTATACTAACTATGGGAGTTTAGGAAGGGTGCATTTTCTTACTTTTTGCTTGCAGGATTAGAGAACAACTGTACAATTTACCAAAGGTTTAATGTAAATGGTTGAGGTGAACAGTGGTGGAACTCTGTTTCAGATGGATGGATGGATGATTGAGTTTTCCAAGCAGCTCAGCGTATAGCATCTGGCCACGTCACAAAAGACAAAAAAAAAAATCTCCCCCTCAGTTCAGTACACATGTTTAAGATTGTCAGCATGAGTTTTCAGGTCTTGGTTTAAAAGTCAACACTTTGTAACCAGAAAGGGCAAACCAAAGATTGGCCTAAACACATCACCTAAAACAGTCATTGATCTGAGGGTAATCAGGATAATGTTCTCGTACAGTGAAGGAATGGCTGGAGTTTTGGTTTGTGAGTTTCAGCTAACAAAGACACAGCCCTCAGGGCTCAGGTATTGGCAGTAGTATTTACTCACTTTATATTGTCAGGGATATTAGCACTGGAAGCTAACATGCTAATGTAGTACAAACTAATGGGAATGCACAGTCCAGTCTCCCTGAGTTGTCCTCATGGTGTACCACTGCACGCTCTACCGTGACTGGAGCTTCTCTCACAAGTGTTGTGGTTGGATATGGTAGTAGCTAGAATTTGCTGTCACAGAGATAAAGATATTATTTTATACATGGCCTGCTGATTTTTGTACAGTGTTTTATAGCTGATTATTTTGTCATGAACATATATACATTTATTATGCACTACTTTTCTAAATATTTTTTTCAATAGTCATTTTAGGCACATTTTTCACAGATGGGAGAACTCCTTTTGCAATACCTCATTTTTTTCACTTGGTGAAAAATAATTTTGTACCTTTGTTACTAAGAGATCTGCATTTATGGTAAACTTAATTTAACAAAAAAAGAATGATATTAATATAATTTTCAATTAGCTTTTATATATTTAAGTGCTGGTAAATCTGAAAATTGTCTGGTGCATTGGTGTGATTCTGTAGATTTAAAAAAACAAAACAACAAAAAATATATAAAGCTATCATTAGCCAGTCATATATGGATTCTCCTCTGTCCTAATAAACATCATTACAGGATCCTAAGGCATGGCAAGACCTTTCTAAACTGATTTTGATAGTCTTGAAAATGCATATAATCTGATATTTTGCTCCTAGGTGTAGTCACTAAGATTATCATTAGGGTAAATGTTTTGGCTTTGATCAATGTGAAATCTTCCCTTCTATCACCGGAGTGGATATCAGCTGTTTGAATATTTAGATCCTCTTTCTGGGACTGCCTGTGAGTTCTACTTATTCTTGGCATGCATAAGAAATAAAATGACTAGTGATAATGCAGGACCTAATGTAATGCACTAGATCTCCTTTTTTTTCTCTCTCTCTCTCTCTCTTTGACTTTCTTTATTTCTCTTTGAGATTGCCTCTCTTGTAGCCTCTCTTTACATGATTGAGTCTGCCTTCCTTTACACAGACGTGATGTTTATGCAATCTACATGGTGACAACACTTTAGGTCTGTTTTTTTTTGTAACATAGAGGACACTCAGTAGGACATAGGTGAGGAGACTTGATCACTTTGACCCCCTTTGTGATGTGGCATGCTTTGGGACATAACCTGAATGTGATTTAATGTTGCAAGTTAACTTTGAGCCATTATGTGCAATACTTATTCTTTCCAGAACCAGTTCTCCGCAGTGTAAGTCATTCAGTCCATATAAACCATGCAGTCATTTACACACCTTTGTTTCCTATTGTTCATGCTGATGTCTGCAAAAGGAAAAAATAATTTATACCTGAATTTATTTTTAAACATTAGTTTTGTGCTTATTAACATATTTTGCTACAACCATGCTACTGTGATTGAAAACATTGTGTATATAATAGGTCGATAATGTATTTACCGTTTGCTATATTTTCAGTTGAAATGAATTACTATCATTTTGATCAGTTTTTTTTTTTTTGTTTTTGTTTTTTCTTTTTGTCATATTTTTTTTGGGGTGATGTGTTCAACTCGTTGACCTGTCTAGTTTTTCTAATTGCTGTATCTGTGCTCCACATTTTCACATGGGAAAAAATGATTATGTCTGTTAGTATTACTTGATTGCAAAATTTCAATAGTTTTTAATTAAATGATGGGAAGGTTATATTTATTAACTTTTTTTTTTTTTTACCTGATATCATTTTGATTTTTTTTAAAGTCATTTCACATTTATATGTAAGTTCCAATTTTTATATTTTCTCGATTAATTTGCGCTACAATACAGACGTCAGTTTTTATAGTTGGTTTGTAGTACTGAAGTAAAACAAAGATCTAATGTCATATATTCATTTGCTGCCAACTGTTTGTAACTGTATGCATACATTTGAAGTATTTGTAATGTGAGATGTTGAACGAATAAAAAAAACGCTGTGAGGAAGAATCTGTCCTGTGTGTCAACGGGAAATTCTCTAAACTGGAACCGCGCATCTATTGCCATTATTGTGATAGGGTTTTTTTTTTTTTTGGTGGCACAGCCATGGGTTAAATCTGCTCAGATTAAGCAGTATTTAAAGACTGTTGCTTGTTTAGTCTTCTGTCCTGAAAATCTTTGCCTGTGTAGCTGCATTTGTTTTCTTTTTAAATTTATTCAAGTGAAAAATTTGCAAACAGTATGGGTGCATAGAAGATTGTTAGTGCAAACTGCTAATCTAGACAAACTATTTCTAGACTGTAATGATTTTTGTCCTTGGGCTAAACCTGTAGTTATTATCTTGCAACATCTAATTAAGTTTCATGTTCCAGCTATTCCTCTAACCTTATTTATTTTATACATTTTTTTTTGTTTTTAAATAATACTCCAGACGTCCATAAGTGGGTCAATAATGACCTGCATTTATTTCTTAGAATTTCATGGGAACTTGTGATTTGTAACTGTCAGCTAGATCTAGAGATCTATAGCTCGAGATATCTATATAAACAAAAAAGAATTGGGGGGGACCACACTCTTTGTGGTCCTTAATATTATTTTACAAATGACAGGCAGCATTCATTCAGCATTCAGACAGCAATTCATCAGAAGTGATTGTGCATTACAGGGGGAGGTTTCAAATGTCTACTGCACATGCCAAACAAGCTTGTCAAGTATGACCAGAAGATTTTCTGGGTTTGTGATGCAAGGATCCTCTTTGCAGTATTTGGAATGTTTTACAGGGAGGCAAATTCAATAGAATCTGAAGGAAAACATTGTCCAGTAGATTCAGAAACACACGATGCAACATCACCACAGTTAACTTTCTCCCCAGTGTGCCTAAGGCAGACATCGTTCCTCTGATGAAGCCTTCAGAGTCCTGGCTTACAGCACAGTGTTAGGATTCAAACTTACTATGGTCAGCTATGTCAACAGGAAAGGAATGGGTGTTGTACTCCTGAGCACATTGTATCAAAATTAAATTGTGAATAAAAATACCAGAAAGGGGGGGGGGAACACAATTGATCATATTCTATAAGACCAAAGGAGGTGTAGATACTATGGACCAGATGGCACATATATCTGCCAGTGTAGAACCTAGAGGTGGCCCATGGTGCTGTTGTACAACTTGACGCTGCCGCCCTGAATGCCTACACCTTTTCCACGGCTTAGCGCCCCAAATTCAAGAATGGTATTTTAAATCCATGACGGGTCTTTTTCACTGAGCTCTCAAAGGAGCTTGCCGCACCACATATGAGAAGTCGACTGGATGGTTGTTCCCAACTGCAAACATCGATCACTGAAGCAATGGGAAGCTGTGGCATGAGAAAAACCACAACTTGGCCACAGGAGAAGAAGCAGATAGGGCAAGCCAAGAGAACAAAATTTCAAGTAATGAAGATTGTAAAGTCAGACAGGGCCGTGCAGAGACGTTTAAAGGGGCGGATGCTCAAAGTTAAAAAGGGGCACATTGAACCAGGCTGAATAACAACAACACACATTCATCAAGAATCTAATATGGGCAACAAGGCAAAGCAAACGTAGCCGATGTTTTACCTGATGGGTACAATGTTGCTGTTGAGGGGTTCTGCTGCTGGCTGATAGTGCTGGAGGGCAGGGCTGTGTTGATCTGAGACTGTAGACATTAAAAAGTCCATAGGAGAGATGGTAGCTGATTAAACAAGTGTCATGAGATAATAACAAAATGCAAAGATTGGTGACAGCGCTTGGAACCATAAGGCAACAAAAAACTGTGAGAAATAATTTAGGCTCTGCCTGTGAATCACTCTTTGCTTCTCTTCTTCCTTCCATCCCATCATTTCATATATCACTCTCCACTTGCTGTCTATCTGAGAACAAGGCACAACTTGCTATTGCAATAAACTATAATCTAATTATCCACACCTAACAACTCTTGCACTTAATCTATAATAAAATGATGACAGAAAAATGTTATAGCCCTGCCTTTAGTAGCCTCACACAGCTCCTACTGTTTCCTCCTCATGTCCTTACCAGCCATGTCTGGACAATGTTATATCATGAGTAATAATTTAAAAAACCATATACATAAAACACACACATGCACGCACACACAGTGACATTTTAGACCTTCTTCAGAATACTGTATATACTATGGGCATCATGGTGCTGATCCAGAATCCTTACATTATTATTTATTACTAGAGCTACAATAATAAAGCAATGAGGAGGGGGAAGTAATAAATATGAAATAATGTCATTTATGATGATTCCATTTGTTTCACTATCCACTCTGTGCAGGGGCAAAGCTTATTACATTTTTAAACTGTAGAGATACAATCATTTTACTGCTGTAAAATCCAAATTTTGTCTTATTTAAAATATAAATCTAATATAATCTGCTTCTTAATGTATGTTCTTTAAAATACAGCGTGTGTTTTTTAATATATTATAATTATAATATGCATAATTATGTGGACATGCATATTAGATCGTTTTTTAGTGAAATATAATCCCTCCAGAAAGGCAGGAAAAGCCCGGAAACTTACTTTAAAACTAAATATGTTCCCTAAAACGGTGACAGAGCTACAGACCCATGACAGCCTTACACAGGTAGCCAGCAGCTATGACCAGCACTACTTGTGCAGTTAATAAAAGGACAGGTAATGTTTGTCGCGCTGTTGCACACACAGCACGCTCGTTTGTTTCAGTTCGTCAGTTGCACAAGACAGCTTACCAACGTGTACGTAATAAGCTAATACTCCTGTGTGCTACACACTACAGTGTACGCTGTACACCTACTTACTGGTTTTGTCGCATCAGTCTGTGAGATTAGAGTCTGGCTCTGAGTTAACTTGTGTTTCTCCTACAGCTCCAGACCGCAAAAAATGCGCGTGCTCTTTGTGAGCTCGTTCCCGGCTCGTAACCAGCGCGTTCTGCCGTCAAGGGCGATCATTGGTTAAATGTGATCATGTGACTGATGCAAGCCAGATCCTTTTATTTAGCAAAACTGTGATTAATAGTTAAATATTATTGTTGAGGGGCACAGACAGGACTCCGCACGCACACACACATTAAAAAAATAAATAAATAAAAAAAAAATTTAAAAGTTGCCTCAACAAAAGGGCACTTTGGGCACTCATCAGGAAAGGGGCGGGTGCTCAAGCCCCTCTAGCCCCCCCTGCACGTACCTGGAGTCAGATGTCGGTGTGGGAAATGCAACGTACCTGTGTGTAGGGATTACAGCCTGAAACAGGTGGTTGTCACAACTACATTCAGTGACGGAAAAGGCTAGAAAAGAGAGAGGAATTGTCTGGACAGTTACACACACATGTATATACTGTCTCACAGAAAAAAAACCGGATTTTGACATCGATCTGTTGCTGTTGTGTAATTTTTTTCCCTTTCCCATTTTAAAAATGTTTTTAAAAAAAAGTTAAAAATACAAAATACTTCAAACATTAGAATCATTCTTGTGTGGATACATCTAAAGGTTAATTCAAGAGATAGTATTCTGGTTATTTTCGGCATCCACATTTTTCGAATAACACTGCCACCTGCTGGTCGTTACAAGCACAATACAGAAAAAGGCAGAGTAAGCACAAAGTGTCATCCGTCAAGTGTGAGAAGGTGTGAAAAAGAGAGATGCGGCGAGTCAAGACTGTGTATGTCCCCCAGTTTGGGTCACAGCAGAGCTCGAGTCAAAGAACTGAATCGGATAAGACAGAGTCCCTTTCTCAGACCCCGAGGGAGAAGACTGGGAATAAGCGCCGCAAAGACAAACGCGCAAAGCCTCGGTCCATCTTGAAAGTAAAAATACCCAGACTCACCAGCCACAGTTTGCTCGGAAAAGTAACAAAGGACAACAAAACGCCGGCAAGGTCGATGTTGGAGCCTGCAGTAAATGATACCAAGGCAGCAATGAACCAAGGAGGAGAAAGGCAGTGTATTATTTTGGGTAACTTTAGCTAATAAGCTAACTATGTAGCTTTATTAAGGCTGAACAGTTAAGTGAGCTGTTGCTAGCTTAAAAAAGAGCACAGGTCTTGTGATTTCCGGTATATGCTCCCCAAAATTAGTATAAAAATATAAATAAGGTATAAATGACTTGTTGGCCTATAATCTATGAAAAATGTCTTTCATGAATAATAATGATGGTAAATAATTTGGAGCCAGAAAGAATATTCCTGTCACAATACACAGTACAAGTACAATAATGCAGTCATAAAGATACGTACAAAACACGTAATGTACGTCTGTGTGTTTATGTATATATAGACAGATATACAGTACCAATGTGTAAATAATGTTGACTACAGCCTGTTTACCAATACAAGTAAATAGGTTACATATAAAACACATATATTTACAAGCATGCATGCATAGTTAACTCATAGAGAAAATTTGCTTTGGATGCAGAAGTAGATCAGTGAGCTCACCGCACACTAGGACAATTGAGTGTAAGTGTGCCGTGTGTAACATTTGTTTTGCAATTTTCAAGTAGGGCCATGCTTTAAAACTAGCTGCGCAAGCTGATGAATGATCTTCCCAAAGTCCGGCCTGCCCATCCATTTCAGTGTCCTCTTCACTCAGTTGCTGTAGAAACACTTAACTACTGTAAACCAAATACCTAATTTGAGTTTGCGCTGCAAAAGCCTGTCGGTGATGTGGTTTGTATTTTTCAGTGCCAAATTGTATGAATTAGTGTAACTTACAGTTGAAAGTTTCAGTACAATTTAGCTAAGGGCCACAGTGACTTGACTGCGTGGGCCTGGACCTCCAAGACCTGTGCATAATACTGACACTGCTCCGGACTGAACAGAAATAAGAGCGCTCACTCTCACATTCACCCCTCTTTTCTTTAGCGGCTGTGTTTATGTCTTGTGCTCTCTAAATGTCCTATTTCATGCAATGTCCTATTATTCAAAATATAGTTTAAAAATATGTAAAAGACAGCACTGAGGGATGAGTGAATGGCAAAAGAAATATATGTGCAATATATTTATAGTTGTTTTTGGCTTTCACCAGTATTAATCAGTGTTCCTTAACACAAGTGTTAAAGAAAACTTAAAACTGTATTTTTTACAGAATGATTTCAGTAATTTTTAGTATTGTTCTGTTAGTGTTTTGTATGAAGTTTGTCTTTGACTGTGTTTGAGTGTTAGTGTTGTTTACATAACTGTTATGTCCACCCCCAGGGCCAGCTCATTTCACATTGGCCTCCTTAATATCAAGCTGGTGAAACTATAAACCTAGACTGAAACTAAAAGTCTAACACAAAGCCAGTGTTCTTTTAGTGTCAGGCCCTAGCCTGGATAAATGGGGATTGTTGCATCAGGAGGGGCATCTGACGTCAAATCATGGCCAAGTCAAACATGATGATCATATGTGGAAGTGATGGTGGATGAGTTTAAATGGGATCAACCATCTAAAGTAAGGGACAGTTCACAAGTAGGGTGAGGAAGCGAGTGCAGGCAGGGTAGAGCAATTGGAGATAGGTGTCAGTGATTTGTGACAGAAGGATAGCAGAAAGAGTGAAAGGGAAGGTGTGCAAGATGGTAGTGAGACAGTTTGTAGACGGTGGAAATGAGTACATAGGAAGGACACCTTAGGTTGAGCAGTTTGGAGACAAAAAGAGAGGCGAGGCTGAGATGACTTGGACATATGCAGAGGAGGGATAGTGGACATACTGGACAAAGGAGGTTGAATATGGAGCTGCCTGGCAGGAGGAAAAGAGAACTCAGACCAGGTTCATGGATGTAGTGAAGAAGGATATGCAGAGAGTTAATTTCACAGAGGAGGATGTGTGAGATAGGGTGAGATGCATGCAGATGATCTGTAGTGGTGATTTCTAAAGAGAGTAGCTGTAAGAAGAAGTAGAAAGTGGGCAATCATGGCTCAAGAGTTGGCAGTTCGTCTTGTAATCAGAAGGTTGCCGGTTCGAGCCCCGGCTCGGGCAGTCTCGGTCGTTGTGTCCTTGGGCACCTACTGGTCATGGCCAGAGGGGCCGATGGTGCGATATGGCAGCCTCACTTCTGTCAATCTGTTCCAGGGCAGCTGTGGCTACAACTGTAGCTGCCTCCACCAGTGTGTGAGAGTGAATGAATAGTGGAATTGTAAAGTGCTTTGAGGGTCTTGAAATGCGCTATATAAATGCGATCCCTTATTATTATAAAAGAAAAAAAAGCCTAATATTCATCCTGTTTGTCATTGTTGCGGTCAGGTGCTGACACTGCAGATGGAGATGTTTTCTTTTTCTCCCAAAGATCCACTGGCAAAGCAACAAACGAGAAAGAAAAGGTAGGTGGTGTGCAAAGTGTGCAGCAGAAAAATGGTAACAATGTGTACCAAACAAGTTTATATAGTTAAAATTAGTGTAATTTTAAATAGCTTGGGGTTTAATGGCAAACAAAAAATTGTCTTCTATCAGGCTCACTGTATATTGAAAACCTCTTTATGTTTTACTTTGTAATTTAACTTTAGCGTGACTGATCTTTCCTTAAACTCTAACTTTCAAAAGTTAAATAAAGGCTCAAACTGTGCATCAGGACTTCTAAACAGGCATGCAGTTACAGTAAAAAGTTTGTGAACCCTTTGAATTTTTCTCTCTTGTTGCAAAAATATGACTGAAAACATTACAGCATGTAAAAACCAACCGAAAAAAATTTATTCTTTTCGTCAAATGTCAGTTGTGGAGATCACTTAATGTCTATGTTATTCAAATAAAATAATTTACACACGGTTGTGGTCCTGTTGATAGGACACCTGCCTTTAATGTACTTCCAAATTTACAGTCAGTATTTGAGGGTCATGTTAATTTCTGCTTGTCACAGAAATTAATTCAGAAATCTGATGTTTTGGGTCATATTTATGTAGAAATATAAATATGGCTCACCAAAAGTTATATGTGTATTTTGTGTCCTCTAGACCCACGAATGAGGCAAGATCTATTTACACCATTTCTCTTTTCCCTTTCCTTTGATTTTTTCCCCTTCACTGGATAGGCGAAGCAATTTGTTCTTAGGACCATCTCCAAGATGTTGGAGGAGAATCAGCTTATCAGACAGCGACTGGATGCTCTCACTAAGGCCAAATGAGTCTGCGAGGATCATAGTGGCCCACAAACATAGTAGGCAACTTGCTAGTACTCAGCACAAGTGTTTCTTTAAATCTTTGTTCTCATCGGTTGCCACATTTACTTTGTTAAGCATTGGGTGTGTGTTAGAAGTGTTGTTAAAGGTCAGGTTGCTGGATCTTGAAGCAGTTTGCATAGAAATGCATTTCTCAGAGAGAACCACCGTTTACTGTGTTTAGCTGAAACTGTTATCTTATTAAATGGGTCAGTGAAATAATTGTGCAGAAGTCTTCTTCAAATTATACATATTTTATTGACTAGATGTTAACTGAGTCTACATAACATGAAAGCGCCTTTAACAGGGCTCTAGACTAACTTTTTTCCACGGTTGCACTGATTTTCTTAGGTGCAACCAAATTTTTCAGCCGCATCGCTTAACCCCACAGTTTTACATGTTCGCTTTTTTTTCTTTAAAAAAGATATCAAAGTTGATGATCCCGACTTCATCCATGGTCCAGGATGTTGCAGGAATTACCTTTATCCACCAGAGGGCACCACCGCCTCTCATATTATTTTTTGTTGTCTTTTGGTTTTCAGTTATTCAGCAGCAACAATTTTATAACCAAAACAGGAAACCTTATAAATGTTTAAGTTGCTTGTATTGGGAACACTCAAAAAAGGGAAATTGGGTGGTTATTAAATTTATAAGAGTCTAATTTGTAATTTGAACAAAATCAGAATATATAAACATGGTGAATGCAATTAAATCATGTATGATGTGCATGCAATTCAACAACGTAACACTTGTTAAATATATTCTTGTTGAAATGACATGATACAATCTAGCAAGAGTGGTTAGTTGCCTGGTTTCGTGATATCACACAATCTTACAAGATTTCAAACTGCAGGAAAATCACTGAGGCAGAAAAGCGTACACACACCACATGTATGCTATTGCTATTTATTGTGGTTTAACCTGTTTAAGGACAAGTGCCCTGTCCAGGGTGTATCCCGCCTGTCGTCCTACAACACCCCGGAGTTAATGAGAGAAAATGACAAGCGGGAGAGATCAGTGGAGTGACAACTTTGTGAAATTTGTTATAAATCTATTCAACTCGAGGAAAAAAAAGATGCATATGACGAGTTTCATGTTAAGTAGAATCTAGACTTTGTCAAACACTCCAAAAAATAACTCTTTTTAATTCTAATGTGTGAACTTAAAATAATCATAGAAAGGATTTTCACGTTAATAAATGGCTTTCTGTTACCATTTTTGTTGGGCTAACGTGGCTTGTGCTTTGCTTGAGAGAGTTGTTTTGCTCAGACTAAGAATTTGCTTGTAATGTGTAATAAAAGCTTCAAATTTTAGAGCACATTCGGCGCCTGTTATTTTACATTTTGAGAAAGAAGATAGTTTGTGATTGTTTTAGCAAAAAAACCAAAAAAGTCAAAAGTAAAAATTTTAAATTGTTTTCACTGTATTCATTGATTGATTCACTAGTTTAAAGTAACATTTTTTCATTAGTAGAAATAGGAAAAAATACGAATTTTATTAATTGTATTGACCTCTTCTGGTTCCCCACAGGTTTCAATGTTGAACTTAGAACCAAACGTTTCAAGTTGATTCTCTTTGACAGGATTGATATTAGTATATCAACTTGAGAGGCATGTGGCAGTGATTATTTTAAGTGTAATATAATTGCTGTTAAACCATGGAGTCGCACAATTTAATTTAAATTGTTCCGCAGTTTCTTAATGTTTTGATTGATGAGCCTCATTGCCTCTGTGTTCAGAGGTCACTTGTTTTACCCTTTTTCCCTCCACACATATCAGGGCAGGCGTGTCAGCAATCTCAGCAAGAGTTCAGCAAAGTTGTGTCTCTGCGACCATAGTCTGCGCTAAAAAATACAGCTCTTAATGTCTTAACATGATGTTGCGTGTGACACAAATTTTTACACAGTAGATTGTTAGCTATGTTGCTGTATAACCTTGAAATTAAATGGTGAAGGTCTGAATGCAAAGTGCTCATCGGTGGGTTAAACTGGTATACATTCAATCACCTCTCAGCCGCCAAACTATAGAACACATGCATTCAAACATGTGTCTCTCAGACCAGCAGCCTGTCTTTTTAAACAAGTCTGATGACAAGGTAGCCCTTTTAAAAGTAAACACTTTTTTTCTGAAGACCCCACAACAAAAATTGCACAAGTTTTTGTACATTAAAGTCCCAATTGACAGAATCATAACTGTGTCAGGTTTAAAAGAATGTAGCTTGAAAACATGATTTAGGCACAATGTCAATACAAGTCTACAAAAAGAGGGCTAACTTTGTTCACATATCTCAGTTATGCTCAGTTTGAGGGGAGTTCTTCTTTCTCCTTGTCCTTCCTGATGTTGTGCATTTTTCCATTGTTCGGTTCCGGGTCGCTGCTTGTGCAGCTGACCGGCCAGCTACCTAGCCTGACCCCATGTGATGTTTGTGTATTGTATGTACGATCGGCAAAGTTACTCTCTTAATTGCCCCTTGGGGATAAATAAAGTCTTCTGAATCTGAATCTGAATAACCTCTTTTCATAATTTGATGTGCTCTGTAGCAAATAGGGCGCGTGGTTTTGAACATAGTAAACAGGCAGTTTATTGAGGGTGTTCTTAAAGCATGGCGGATAAATGTGCGTTGGGGTGGTATAGAGGCCTTCAAACAATCAGAGCTGCGGTCTGCGAGGAGACTGGCAGACTGGCAGCTGTACCTTCAGACGGTGTTGCCAAGCCTGTTGATCACTGGTTAGCCGCATTGTTTACATGGTCAGAGGCGTTGGAATGTCAGTCCACTTTAAAACCAGCGCTTTTCTTTTATTTCAGGAAATAATGTAGTTGAGTACAGCTAAAAACATTACAGGGAAATCATTCACAAGTGGATACAAGTGCCCAAAGTGGCATATTTACTATGATGACTATCCTTTAGTCTCCTGAAAACTCAAGATAGTGGGTATTTTCAACATGGCTTTATTTATTTATTTATTCTTCAGATAATGTAAACTAGAGTTGCCATTTTTAATTATTTTAGTCAATCCATACACTTTACCATGTGGAAGTTGAGTTTGGAAGTCTGCTATTATTCAGAAGTTTGCCATTTTTCATAATAGTTTGCTAGCAGGGGAGTGGGCTGTAGTAGTACAAGTTATACTTTTTGCTTCACTCGCATCTACTTGGTGGGCCTGTTACACTCCTCAATAGTTACCCCTGTCTTACCCGTGGCCCTCCAATAGCTTGCTGTGTATGGTGACATAGGATTTAAACTGCATCCACACAGGAAGCTGGTCACGTGTTGCTTTGTTTGGTAACTGGTCGCTAGTAGACATTTCAGGCTCTGCTTAACTGGGTATTTTCTGATATATTCACTACTGATCATATGTCAGTCAATGGCGTTCTGCTTCTCACTGATAGTTACATCAGCCTCTCTCCTCAGTGTTGAGAAAAGTGAATCTTGGGATTACCCCCTGGGGTTTTTAATGTGGTCGATTTAAGACACAAATGTCATTAATCTTTTATAGGCTGAGGTCGCCACACTGCTGCAAATCACCTGTAGTGTGGATGCAGCTTTAGAGGGATTTCAGAAGGTTTTTCGTTTGATCTCTGACTCCTGCAGTGCATGTCTTGGGCAAGATACTGAACCCAAAAGCTTGTGTTTGCATAAGTGCATTTACCATAGATTAAAATAGTAGACTGAAGAATAAAGCAAACACTAAAGTTCTAAAAGTTTAGCAGACACTTGCATGAAAATCTGATGGTGTAGTTAGATTAGTTGAACAGTAACCTCACAAGAAGAAGCTTTGAACCCCACTTCATACCTAATGTCTGGGATAACCTCTCATGAAGTGAGAGTGAACATAAGAAAGCTGAGCAGCCAACCTTTATGCATTGAATACATGAAATTCATTGAAATAGATGGAAGAATTTGGCGCTGGGTGAATGTCTGAACCTAGCTGTATGCATCATAGTGCTACAAAAGTGGGGGAAGGGAAAATCTTTTCATTTCAATCATTTTGTTTTACCTGAAACTAAGACACTCAGATACATGCAGAGAGATTTTATAGTTATAGATTATGGTTACTTTTGATCAGAAGCATATAAATCAAGAGTACAAACTTCTATAAGTCAAACAATTGTTTTCTAAGATAGAGATGACGACTGAATTGGGAAGTTTTGACATTTTGAAAATTCAAGGGGCTAAAGTGATTTTCTTTTTTAAACTTATTGGCTAAAGGGGGAAAAATATGCAAATGTTGGTGCTTGTAGATTGTTTCAGTTATCCGCTGCACTATTAGCAGGAACTGGCGATATGTACTCTTTGGCCTTTAAATTCATGCTTATCTTAAAATAAACCTGTGTTAGTTTCTATAAAATGCAAAGTCTTATTACCCTTGATGGCATTGCAGTGGTGTTTCTACTTTTTCGTGATGTTGGATGATTCATTACTTTTTAACACCTTCTATGCCACATCCTGACTGAGACAGCTTAATGTGAGAAAAAGCGCCTGACACTGTCAGCAAATTTGAGCACTGACTGTGTGGCAAGAAAGATAAGACCAAAGTGGGTTAAAGTTGTTGTTTTTTCCTTTTTACATTTTTGAAGATTAGATTGATATTTTGCTGCTGGATTTCTTTGCTGTTGGCCAATGATTCTCAAATATGTAGGGGTACGTGGGTGGAAAATTTAACAGATGAAGGTATTTGGGACCAAATAGCTCTGGGGACTTTCTGGTGGGCGCCTGACCATTAGATCACTTAACTACATATCTTCTAGGTTTCTCCTGCTTTTATTTGCACTGACAGTAGAAAAATTATGCAATGGCTAGCTTGTAATTGGGATAGCAGAAGTTACAACCGCACTGACAAGATGGTAAATTGCAGCTGTGTGCTTTTGACATTTGGGGTACTGTGACTGCTTGCTCTTAACTTGGCCATCAGACAGAACCATGCTTAAATGTCACACCATCACTTTAAAGTATTGCGCGTTAGTTTGCTATCAGCCTAAAACACAGACCCAGGGTAGCCATTTAAGTCCTTTTGTAATGCAACAGAAAGTCAGTGATCATCATCTACAGCTTTATTACAGTGCTGCAGTCCACTCTTATCTCTGTCGTTTCCCTTAAAAGTCCTTAGTATAATCCACGATCCTAATGTTACCCCATACTGCAGCAAAGATGTGCTTTTGTTCATTATATCTATATATTGCTGACAATATGCAGTGTGATTATGGTCAATTATAAATAAAAATGACCTCACAAATTGTGCTGCCTGGAGTTGCTAGCAATGCCATGCCATAGGTACCATAAAGCCCATACAGTTGTACACTAAAGTGATAAACCATTTTGTTCTATATCAAATACACCATAAGCTTGTAACCGTTAAATATTGTACTTTATTGTACTTATTCTTTTTTTTTTAAACTTTTTTTCATTTGTTCTTAAAGTTTAGTAAAAAAGTAAATAAATAAAAGGTAAATGAGTCAATAATCATACCAAGTTGAAGCAGCCCCAAATAAAACAATGGGAAACGTAAATCAGGTTTATGAAATATATTTGTAGTTGGTGGGTATTGTAGGAATTGCTACATACATGATGAACATGAAAGTTGACTTCATTGCTGTTTGTAATATGAAGTGCTAAGTTTAACACATCGGCACACTCGCTTCTGCTATTTCTTTCACGTAATATTTCTGCCACTTGCGATCGTGATCACACTAAAAGCTGATGTTTCCCATCTGCTACCGTGTTCAGAAGAATCATAAATGTGACCATTTAAGACTATGGTGCATCATGAATTTGTGGTGAAATTTGTGAGATACTTTTACTGAATGCTTGTTGTGGTTTGATTTAGCAGCACATGTGGGTTAAAGGCTGACTTCCTGTAAGACTTAGAGTGTCACATGCACATTAGCATACAGGGAAGCTGTAACTTGTGGTGAGATGGGGATTTTTTTAATTACTCAGGGGATTTTATTTATTGATGTTTTCCATGGCTACAAGTTAACTACAGAAAAATGTATGGAATCATTATTGTGGCAATGAGTTCACTGTCATGTTTGGTGTGATTTAAACTTTGTGACATGGTATATTATCCCGTTGGAAACAGCCTTCAGGAAATGGGTACACTGTGGCCATAAAGGCTGTTCTTAGTTGGTACAATGATTCCCAGACTGTGCCCCCAGAAACACTACCATCTTGATATAGGTAGTATGGCTCTAGTCTGTGATGCAGTTGAGGCTATCATTCAAATGTCGGTGCAGAAATCGAACAGTTGTTTTCTGAGTTTTTTTTTTCCTACCCTAATTTGGAATATTCATTTGGTTTGACTAATGTCTGTGGATTGTAGTTAGTGTGTTTAACTATAAAGCCGTTAAACATCATGCTACAAGTCCTGGAAATTATGTTACTGCTAAAAAAAAGCATGTAGCTTTACAGTTTTTCTATTTTGACTGAAGTAAAGGTGAGCTGTCGTCTGTCTTATTTCGTCACTGTGAGATGCTGGCATGTGGTACAGCTTACATGTGTCGGTGTTGCTGTGGTGACTTCAGAAAGCTATTACTCATTACTATAGAGCTGCGGTTGTTCGTAAGACGAGGAAAGGGCAAATATCTGAGTCTGAGTGCATCTATACCCGAAACTTGCAGCAAAACGAATGCAGCTCAAGTAAATTACAAACAAAAAAGAGAAAATGGTTAAGTTACTTCAGTTGCTGTTAAAGTGTAAGCAGTTATTTTGCTGGTGGTGATGGTGAGAATGAAACACTCAGTTTGAGGCTTTTAAAATGGGTTTTCCCTAACAGACTCTCTTATATACTGTCTGTGGCACCGTCAGTAACATGGGCTTCATCACTTGAAGAAACACATACAGAATTACATTTCTGTATGTGTTTTGGTGACATGTTGTATAGGGCATTTATCTGTATTTTAAGAATTTTTCTTTTTTAGACAAAAAAAACAAAACAAAAAACGACTAAAGCAAATGAAGGTTAACTATCAAATGTTTCTTTGTAAGATGGAGCTGTGATATTTCTTTTCCTCTAGTTAAGCTCTCAACTCTTTGATACTCAGGATAAAAGTATTCTTTTTATGGTATACCTGGGTTATGTCCTAATTTATTTAGGCATTATGTATGTTGGAAAATTAAAGTACTGAGGGCAATGATATAATTTTGAGATTGACCTCAAGATAAGCTCTTTTCACGAAAATCTGGGTTTTACATGTGTTTGCATGCATTGTCCTTGAACCTGGTTTAGTTATTTCGTTGCTTCTAAGTCAATACGGTGGTACCTTTTTTAAAACATTTCCCACTGTGTGTTGAATGCATTAAACTTCTGTGGGTTACAGCTGATGCTGTTATTACTATTTCTGTAATTTTAACTAAAATACTCTAGATGATTTTTGTGTATGGTTTAATTGAAGTTGCGAAGTGTTCACATAGGATATGCCAGCAGTTGGCTATCAAATGCTCCTTCAATTACATATATTAGCCTAACAGGGCTGTTGTCCCGCCTTAAAGTGCATGGCCCTCTGTCCTCCTGTCTTATTATTTATTAGAAACATGCGTGCAAATGCATGTTTTTTTAATCATTTAGAATTTTAAACACTATTGTAGTTTTATCAGTTTTATGTGTCCCGCTTTTAATATAAAATATGATGGTATGTGATGATGTTTCTCACCATTATTCACCTATACCCTTCTTGATTCCCAAAAGTCTAACAGTTCCGTTTGATTTTCAAATATAAGCTCACACCCAGTTACCCGTGCACATTATAAACCTGTAGGTAGGGAATCGGTAGAAAAGCACTGTAATGACAGAGAGGCTCCTTTGTTAAGATGCACGTGCGTATTACAGGAGACTAAGCTCGTGCTGTGTGAGCACTTTGCTTCACATGGAGAGTAACTGTGTTGTGGAGCTGGGGAGCTGAGACCCTGATGCCACTGTAATCCTGATGATTACAGAGAGCACACATTCTCTGTGAGGGCTGATCACAGAGCACTGGACACAGCAGCACACACCAGTCACTTCACAGGAGGTCTTTGCGATGTGCGGACATGTGTCTGTGAGGGAGAGACAGACAGAGAGAGCTAGAGTATGCAGCAAGCACATTCATCTTGCATGAAGTTAGGTGTGTGTCACTTTTTTGTGTCACTTGTAAAACCCATGCACTGCGCTGGTATTCTTCACTGAGTGGCTAGAGGCTGCATTTAGGAACGCCGTTACTTCTCGTGATGTTTCCTAATACTCTGGAGCCCTACAGGTATGAGCTTCAAACAGGCACGAGACACCTCTGTCTCCATCCACACAGCAGAGACTGGGACTAATCACAGCGGGCGCCACACACCTCAGGAAGGTAGCAATTTTCCATCATTACCGTTAAATCCTGCTTAAAAGAACCGGATTCCACAGGCCTAATTACAAGGTGTTAATAATAACAATGTAATGACAGTCATTTTAAAGCCTGCCCAAAACCATAATCCATCGCCCAACTGACTCTCACATTTAAGTGTGTAACTGCTGTGTGATGTCTGAATTTTGAAAGCACCATGATTGTTATTGATTGCCATTGTGATTACTCCAACAGTCGGTGTGGCAGGGTCTGCGCGTTGGGGCTTGAATTAGGAGCATCGTCAGCTTTTGTCAAATGGAAATGCAGCTCTACAGACAGACGCTGATGCTTGAAGACACGGCAAGCCAATCTACCAGCCTAATTGCTGTACGGGACAGAGCTTAGCAGGCAGGGAATCGATTTACATATATTAGTAAGGTTTTGTATTCGGCCTCTGTCTCATTTAAAATGATTCTGCATTAATTCAAGACATCAAGCATGACTATGTGCAAGCTTTTTCAATGTTAACTAAGGGTATGCAGTTTGCAGAGTGAAAGAAATACAGCCAGGAAACAATCTTCCACCATGGTAATTACTGCTAAATGAGGCTGATGCGAAGCTGACCTGCTGTCTGGTTAGGGGTGTGGCAGAGTGCCCTAAACACAACGTCCAATCACAAGTCTTCCCCCAAACCCTGGGATCAAGACTCATCATTGGCTGAAAGTCCCAAATGCACGCCAGACTTTTTCCAGCACTAACTCTGTCAGCTTTGTGACAGCTTAAGAGAAGCTACTCCAGATTCCTCTCTGACCGGTCTCATTCTGGGACCAGAAAAGTGTCTTATGGATTGTACTTAAATTCTAATACTGAAAAGAAAGAGAAGAAAAAATGTCTGCGTCTGGGGACTCAAGAAATGAGTTTTCCACAGAAGAGGATGCAGGATCAACGCAGCTGAAGCTCGGGCGCATGGCACAAACATCCTGTCTTCCCTTCAGCGTTGAAGCTCTCATGTCGGAGACGAGGCCGCTGGCTGTGACCAGCAAAGAAAAGGGAAATTATGATTTGAAGGAGGATGAGGCGCAGCGGACAGATGAGTGCACACAAAACTTAATATCTATTAAATCAGAGCCACTGGAACAACATGAATTTCCCTCTTGGATATCCAGCTCCATTAAGATGTCTACTCCCCCACGTAAGTCATTTTCCAATCCAGTTTTATTACTAGTTAGTGGTTCAGTTTTGAATCAGGGTTTGTTTTTTTTTTAAAATCAGGGTCTTCGAGTACTGTAAGTCATCCAGTTTAAGCTTTTGTAATGCAAATGTGTAAAGTTGGAGGAAAAGTCCCACAGCTGGCAGCACAGTTTTTATGCATAATTAATACTGAATCAATAGACAAATCAAACATTTTTGACAGAACAAGAAGGAGTAATAAAAAGAGAAATATATTGATTTGTTTTTAAGAATTTTGCATAATAATTTTTCTACTCACCAGTTTCACATTGTTTAAAGATAATCATCTTGCATTATTTAAAATTTTAGATAGTGGTAAATACTCTAGGAAGCAGGATACAGGAGAAGCGTGGCTTTTCCATCAATATTGCTGTCCATTAATTTTCTGATCATTACTTTTCCTGTTTAGTCATTTGGTGTTAAACCACTGAAAAGGAAAGAATTAAAGGTCTGTTTGTCCAGCTTTGACAGCTGATTTAGTTTCATGTTTTCCATATATCCTGTAGGGCAGCTTAGTCCGGCAGTCTGCTCATTGAGGAAGCACAAAACCAACCGTAAGCCTCGTACTCCCTTTACCACAATGCAGCTTCTGGCCCTGGAGAGGAAATTTCGTCAGAAGCAGTACCTGTCCATCGCCGAGCGGGCCGAGTTCTCCTCCTCACTGTCCCTGTCCGAGACCCAAGTCAAGATCTGGTTTCAGAATCGACGGGCCAAAGCCAAGAGGCTTCAGGAGGCTGAAGTAGAGAAACTCAAACTAGCAGCTGGTGTAGGCTCCAAAGCTGTCTTCTACCCAGGATACTCATCCTTGGGTTTTCCCCTGCACGCTGGTTCGGCAGGGCTCTATGGACTGGGCTACTCATATGGCCGCACCCCTGTTCTCCCTGCTGCACATCTGGCTATGTACGCCTCACAGGTCGGCTACAGCCTTTTCCACCTCTCCTGAGATGAAAAAGAAATATACAGACAGATTGTGCTAAAAGGGATGACAAGAGTGTATCATTAAATCATGCACCTTATGCAAAACTTGTTTGCATGTGACCTGAAGTGGACTTTAAGCTTCATTGTTTGTCTTAAGAAGGATTTACAAGTGTTCTGCTATTTGCAAAAGACTATGGAAGGATACAGCATCCCGAAGGTCCCTCTTTGCCATTTGCAAACATAATACCAGAATACATATTGTTCAGATTGTCTTTTCTGCCCTTTTTCTAAAGTGTTTCTCACTTGTTACCCTTCAACATGCAGGGATATTTCACTGCACCTTTAAATCATTGAATACTCAAGTCACACATATTTATTTGTAATAGTTTTAGAGTCACATACTTGATGTTACATATCTTCATTTTCATTAGTTAATATTTTATGTATATGATATTAAATTGAGATCCTTAGCACGCCCCCTCGTTTGCTGTCTTTATTTGTGGCCTGCATACAACACAAGGTAGAATTGGTAACCTGGTGCGGTTACTTTAATGCAGTTGTCTGCTTCTTTTGATGTGGTCTTCTGTTCGTACTCAAATTGTGTTTAGTTCTTTGTTTGGTGGTCCATCTGCTTCTGAAATTCAGTGGCCTCCTTTTGTTTACCACACATGCAGGAAGAGGCTCTTTTCTTCTCATCTCGTTTAACACGCCTCATATGCTTTCTTCTACAGAAATGTTAAGGTCAGTGCAAAATATAACATATTTCAACTGCAATTACACAAAAATAACATTTCCCTCGCTGATTTCCTTCCCCTATTCTGAATGCATTGTGAGCTCTACCGTCTAACTAATACTGTCTTTGTTTCCCAGAAAGTCGTCATTATATCATTATTTCTTTTTCTCACTTATGCTGTTTTGGGTGTAAATGATCTTGTAAAAAGATCAATGCGTCACGAGAGATTTTAACTTTTGATCATAAATGGTTCAGTTCCATTCTGTATGAAAGTGATCCTAGCTGCTTTATTGCTATAGAGAGGCATCATAAACTTCAACTTTTGGCAAGAATTTGGAGCATTTAGCATCTTTATTTTGGCCTAAAAGCAGCGCTGTAATCTTAAATCCCTAAAATGTGTTATGTCTTGTGCTCTTTTGCTGTTTGGGCTCCAAACTATTATGCAAGGAAAAATATGCTTTTTATTTATTTTTAACAATATCTTGAATTTCTGCATTTATTTTTCAGGGACTCTTTGATATAAGAAACTTGTGTGTGACCAATCAAACAAACTACTCAAGCTATTCACTTTACCAATGTGCTTCAGGGATTTGCACTTCAAAAATGAAAGCACGGCATAAAAACTACAGCTGCCAGCTAATCTCTAGCATTAAGAATAATGAAGTAGCAATTTCTATACATGGGTGTATATACAGCGGGGTGGTCCAAGGGAAGAGGTGTTGCACTCTTTAATGAATATTTATTCAGCCAAATTTCCCCCTAAAGATGAGAAATTATATAAACAAAAATGAATGCTTTCAGCAAATAGCACGTCTCACATTGTCTTAATTGTAAACATGTGTTTTCATATTGCTCTTGGATCTCACAGAGGTAGAGATTTATTTGCTTGATGTGAGCCTTATTTTTAAACTGTATACTTTAAATGAACTCTCTCTGTGAACTTTCTAACACAGCATTATAGCAGGCTGTCCCTTTGCAGCCTGTAGTTTAATTGCGCTTGTCTCAGAGTTCTGACTCCAAAACTCTGTGAAATTATATGTGCAGACTCAGTGATAACAGAACGGGGCATTACATGGTCTCTCTGTCTCTGTGCCTCTTTCCTTCACCAAACTTGGAGAAGTCTTGTTACCATTAGCACATATTTCACAGTCCATTTGCTCCCCTCCATTTTGAAATTAAACCCGGCATTAAGCTGATAGGAAGGCCCTTAATAGCGTTGACTGGCCACAGTCTCCAGTTTCAAATGTTTTCAGCGTGAAACTTAGGCAGAAGAAATTATCACAGCCCATTTGAGATCGGATAAAGAAACAGAGACGTTATGTTTTATAATGAATAGATACATTAACAGTAATCATTATAAACACCAAATGTAAATGAAAATCGCCACAAGATAGATGTGCAAATTTGACAAAGCATGATGTTATTTTCATGGAAATGTGCCTTGAGGGTTATTTACATTCTTACAAAGCTAATTTGAGTTTCTTGGGTAATTAGCGAGGGCTCGGGTCATACAGTCTTTCTAATATCCTCAGCCAAGAGAGCAAAGGGTCAAACACTTCACATGTTAAAACAATACTCACATATTTATATATGCATTGAACTTTTCACTGAAATACTCTTTTTTTTGTATTAGAAATTTAAAGGAACCTACATTTACAATTGCTTTAACCCACCGCTGTCAGTTTTACCCTTCATAGTTTACATTTAAGTGTGTTTGGAAGACTTTTTTTAGAGTCGGTATGAATAAGAGAATATGAATACAAGGGACACATCTGACAACCAAACAACCAATAACTCTGATGATGCACTGGTAGACAAACAAGACTATAACCTCTAAAGGTCTGCATATTGCTTTTAATTACTTAATATTTTTGTGAAGTAAAATCTAATGGTCAACATCCCCCTGAGACCCAGTATATTCACTATGTTTAACACTATGTTCTTTCAGTTTAACAAAACAAGTTAAATTGAAAGAACCTCTTTGAATTTGTCTTTCAATTTCAATTCTTTTACATATCAGGACATATAAAATTAAGCCAAAACGCAGCAATGATCTTTAAGAAGTATGGCTCGTTTGGAAGGATTGCCAGAAGAAAGCCTTTCGTGGTGGGGGGAAAAACAAATGGCAAGACTTCTGAAAAAAATGTTCAAGCAATGTTTGGACAGATTAGACTAAAGTGTACATGTTTGGCCATAATGCACAGCGCCATGTGTGGCAAAACCCAAACAAAGCATATCAGCACAAACATCTCGTATCAACTGTCAGACACGTTGGTGGGGCGGTAATTCTTTGAACTTGTCTTACTGCCACAGGATCTCCGTACCTTACAGTTATTGAGTCAACCATGAGCTCCTTTGTATACCAAAGTGTTCTAGAGTCAAATGTGAGGCCATCTGTCTGATAGCTGATGAAGCGCGAGCTGATTTGATGAGCTCAAGCACAGGAAGAATTCTACTGCATGGCTGAAATGGCTGAACCAGAGAAGAATCAGGGTGTTGCAATGGCCCAGTGAAAGTCCAGACCTCAGCCTGACTGATATTGTGTGGCACTACTCTAAGAGAGCTTTGCATAAACCTGCCCACAAACATCAATGAACTGAAACAGCGATTTATGGAGTAATGGACCCAAATATCTCCACGGTGATGTGAGAGACTGATAAAGTCACACAGAAAACACTTACTCCAAGGTAATCCTGCCAAAGGTGGTTCTACATGTTATTAAATCGTGCTGCTTCTGAACTTTGGCTTAATCTTTCATAAGAAGTAATGACATGGTGTGGTGTGCCATCTGTTATTTCTCATCTGAGGTTGTATTTAAGAAGTTTAGATCCTGGTAAGATTTAAATGATTGATCACGATTAAGTAAAACCTTAGGACTATCAACAAACAACACCTTGACTGTGTCAGCAAGTCACTGCATACAATAGGTGTTGTTACTTGAACCTAATATTCTTGCAGCTCTGCCAGAAATCCACTAGGTGTAGCAGCTTTCCATCTATTGCTGCTCATTGAAACCAACAACACCAAACAGTCCTTCTGATTCTAATAACAATATCAGTAAATTCATTCTCGGCATTTAGGATAATTTTTAATAGTTTTGGTTGATGACAAATCTTCTTGGATAGAAAATGGCATGTTATGTAACTGCTGTTAGATAATGTCTTTTTAATTCATCATGAGTAACCTGGTAAATAAAAGATGAAACTCTTCTGTGTTGTTCCACTGTGTCTTTAGTAAAATGCACAAGTTTGGGCTTTGGGGATTTCTAGAGTTCAGTGTGGCAATCCTTTTAACTGCATCACTGTTGAATTTGATTGAGAATAAGTGGCCTTCCCCTCCACACTTTTATTTTGACAGATATAAGCAGTAATAGGCATTTGTCTAATTATACCTATTAAGCAGGTCCAGTACTGTGCAAAAAGTCTTTAGCCATCCGTCACTTCTTTAACTTTAAAAAAAAAAAAAAAAAAAAAAAAATTCAAAGGTCTTTATCAGCAGTTCTTTAGGATTTCTGAAGGTCTTTAAAACTGTTTGGACTTTCGGCTGATTTTTCTTTGTAACTGACCATTTTCAGAGGAATGTATTTGTTTTTTTTGTTTAAGTCACTTAGCACTACCCTATGAATGATTCATGCATAAAAAGGCACCTAACTGTTGTGTCTGCACATAGGAGATGACTTAGCAAAGACGACTTAGCAAAGAACCAATCTGATTTTGTAAAATCGTTTTTTTTTACCAGCAATCTGTCAAAAAAAGAAAAACACATAATGTGTTCCCATTTATTTAGCTGAATCTAAGAAAAATGCCAACAATAACAGTTTGACAGGCACAAAATATCATTCTTATACCAAAAAGATGATCCTCAAAAAGCTATTAGCTGAAACCTTGCCATATCTTGGCAGTGTCTGCAGTGTGTGCTCAAAAGATTTTGAAAACTGGAAAGGGGAGGACAGAAACAGAAGTGGCAGGCCTAAAGAGCTATATATAGCAAAAGAACAGTATCTGTTACTTATATCCTTAAGAAATAGGAAAAATCCAGCAAAGACTTGACACAGAACCCAAGAGATGCATGTAGACCTTCAGTTGATCCATCCATTGTTTGCAGAAGGCTCATCAGAAAAGGTCTTGGTGGCTGTCAAGAAGCCATTCTAAAGGAAGGGAAACAGGGAGAAAAGGCTGAGGTAGTAGTATAAGTAATATAAAAGGAAGGTATATTACAACAATCTCATGACAGAGAATGGAACAAAAGGTAGCAGACATCCAAAGAAGAGCTTTCAAGAAGCCCAGAGAACTATTCCTAAAGACTAACTAAAGAAATTAGATGGAAGTGGCCTAAGAGACTTCAGGATGTGTTAAAGAATAAAGGTGGTCACACCAAATATTGTTAGAATTGTATAATGTATGCATGTTTTTGCCTTATTATATATCAATTTATGTTTGCACGTTTCAGTAAATTGCTGCACCTATTTCCCATTTTTTCTAGAAAAATATAAAGAAATGAGGGGTAGCTAAAGACTTTGGCACAGTACTGTATTAAACATGGCTGCAAATTTGGTAAAAATCTGTTTTAGGCTAAATGAAGCAGTAAGATCCATTCCTTAAAAAAAGAAGAAACCGTAATTTGGCATTTCTCCCTGCATCTCTCCTCTGCTGTCTTTGCCTGTATGGCAAACTGAAATCCAAGATCAACATTTTAAGATTCATTTGCGCACTCAATCCTGGTATACAGTGCTTGCTTCACTGCACACGAGAAAAACACACAAATGTAAGGATCACTTCTCAGGAGGGAAGCAGAAATGCGAGCTATGACAAACATAAGAGGGGTGGGATGGAGGGGAGAGAGTGTGGTGATAATTTTTGATTTTGGTACAAACCTTGCAGGTCAGGGGAGTTAAAAGCATAGCTTGGTGTCCCTAAGAGCTCAGTACGCTTCATGTGAAAAAAACACAAGCAAACCAAGAAAACATTTCACCAATTTGACAACACGTGGAGCATTTAAAAAGAAAATAGAGATAGCACAGTGTAGCACAGACTGACACTAAACAGAGATGGACACGGTTAAGGCATGACTGTCGGTGACTCATGCAGCTACTGACACTGATCACATGATGTCTTTCTGTATTTTCAGTGCATTCCTATATCTGGTTGTGTTGTTTCACTTGAATACTTTGCGGGTGTTGTCAAATCCCTGAATATTTTTGATCCTGTTTTGTGTATTTTTATCAGTTTTCTTTAAAAGTTGGGGTGCATGCACTCAGAGTCACCGCACACTGGCACTTGTATTGTTCAAAGTGCAGTGAAAGACATGGCATGCTTTTATCTTGTCTTCAAAGCTTGCTGGCAGGTGTTTCCCTGAACAACCCCGCTCTATCCTCCATCTTTGCCGTTCACTCTTAGGTTCTCGTCTGCGTCTCTGAACACTTTTTTGTCCTCTGCTTTACTGCCTCCTTTTCTTTTTCAGTCCTGGTGTACGATGATGCAGTCATTGTGTAATTAGACTCCCATTCACTTGCACAAACTGTGGCTTAGATAAACTAACAAGTTCAGAAGTTCTTTATCAGTGGAACTTGATCTTAACTAAAACACACATGCACACAAACACACACAGAGGCAGACCTTGTCCTATCCTTCCAGTAATTCCACCTCTAGCACTTTGTGTCTTTTGTTTCGTTCTTTCAGCTGGTTTTCAAGAGATATCGCCCCCAAGCAGGTTTGGCCAAACAGGATGACCTATTTAAACATAAAGGAACACCTAAAAGCTTTGGCTTTAAGGTTATAAGACAGAAAGCTTCTCATGGGTTATGACTGTTTTTGTGACGATCTGGGGCATACAACAAGACAACCTAAAAAGTAATTAAAAATGAGACAAAAAAAACCTCTAGGATATTCTTTTTATATATATTCAACTTAACCTTAAACATATTCCTTTTTTCACCTTGGAGCTTTTTTTCTCTGCTGCTGTGCATTTTTTCCCAGGTTATCGTTGCTCTTTCCCTCCTTATAAAGCAGCAGCCTGATGTTTTGTGTCCTGACACTGTTTCGTGTAGGTCTTCTGCTTTCAAGCCCCAGCTCTCTTTTGAAGCACTGAGGTGAACAAAGCTGGAATCAGCACTACAGTTGTTGACCTTTGTAAAGAAAGAACAGCACAACCTTCTGTGTTTGTTGAAAGTTTCGTATCGTATTCGCACATAGATTACAAAGTGTTTTTCTCCTCATTTGTTTCACTGTAAGCCTACGACATGCTGTGCGTCTAAGATTAGATTATTTTGTTTCCTCTGAAGTAACTCTTGCAGATAGGACACACTAATGTCAACTGAATTAGCATCTCCCAGTGACATCCATACATTGCCCCGTGGGAGGTTTGTACCCCGTGTCTGAGCCTTTTTAGAGCAGTGACATCTTTAGCCTTCACCATTGTCTGTGTTTCCTCACAGATCTGTCTCTCCTTGCTGTCTCCTGAGATCCTGTGACTCATAAATCTTCCCCACGGGCTCTATTGTACTAAAGGAGGCCTAGTTGCCCATCTCTTTGTGATAACTTAGTAACGCACTAGGTGTCATGACATACACAGAAACACAAAGGCTGGTTTACATATATTTAATGGTAATTATGGATAAGGGCGAGCTAGGTAGTAACTTTTTACTCTGTTTTGACTTTTGATTAAAGCAGGGATGCACATATGGCCAACCGTGACCTCTTTGACTCCTCTTTCTGTGAGTCATCAGATATCTACACAGAAGAAAAATATTTTAGCAATTACAACAGCAGTTTTTTACATGATGGAGAAATGCAGCTGTAGTAAATAAATGGAATCTATTAGTGTGGCTCTTTGAGCTTAAACTGTATGTGTAAAAATGTTCTGGTAGCAAAGTTTTTATTCAGTTTCTGTGGACCAACAGTAAAAAATAGACATTTCTATATTAGATCATCATTTAAATATTAATCTGTTAATTAGTTACTTTTGT